TTTTTTTTTTTTTTTTTTTTTTTTTTTTCCGTGTCCGGCAACGGGATCGCAACCCTCGGTGTTGCCCCCGCGCCTCGCTCAGCCAGTGAGCGGGAACCGGTCTGTATGTGGGATCCGAACCCTCGGGCGGGAGCGCCGCCACGCCTCCCAAGCGGCGCACTTATCCAGTGCGCCACCGGGCCGGCCCTACAACAAACCTTTTAACCTTTCCCCCAAATTATTATTAAGTCATGATATACCTCACAATCTATATGGTCTTAAAAACAGCTAGCATGTAGATGTTTAACTCTGTCCCCGGTACCACACTGAACATTTCCTGGTGACTTCTCTCTTTCAATTCTCTAACAGTCCTACAGGAAGTACTATTAGTATCCCATTTAAAAAACAGGAAAGAGAGGTGCAGGGAAGCTATGTGATTTGCCCAAAGTCAGACAGTGGGGAGGGAAGGAGCCAGGGTCTGCACTCGGGCAGAGGTTGCAGATGTTGACCTCTCGGCTCCTCCTCCACACCTCCCCCTCACTCTAGATTGGCACTCAAGGCAGAGCTGAGATGTGACCTCGAGCGTCTAACTCTGGAGCCTCTACCCTGTACTTCACACAGTACAGTCCCTAAACTTCCTCTGCATCAAATACGGAGGTTGGAAGCAGAAGTAATATAGACTTTCAAACTTTATTCTTACATTCATTATTCATCATAACCCTCTAAACTACCTTTGGTATGCTGAATATCTTTCATATGGCAGTTGAGAAATGAACAAGGTTGAAAGCAAGAATTGAGAAACAAAATCTCTTCAGGTCAATGCCTTGTATGTGCCTAAAAGATGATTAAGTCAGTTTTAGGATGAGTTAAACAGCAGGAGAGAGCTCTATAAATTGGCCTTTGAGTCTGAGAACCTATCATGTTGTTTGCACATGGTTGGAGTAACCTAAGGAAGTACATTCATTTTCAAATAACTACATTCCAAAGCCAAGTGCCCAGAAATGGAAACCACATTTTCACAGATCAGCAGTATAAAGCATAGCAGGGCAGGAAGGGGTGAGACAGGCTGCCTCTGCCTGTATGAGACCTTTATGAGATGGAGAAAGAGCCCAGTGCTGGGTGCACAGAACGGCATGCAGCATGGCTGAGGACAGCAAAGAATTCTCCTTATCCACCATGTGGAATACTTCCACGGAAAAAAGAACAGAGTACAGGAAGATGATTTGAAAGCTCTAATTTATAAACATTGAATTCTCTGACATTTTAAATCCAAAATAATTCCATTTATTGCCTGGTTTATGTACACCTTGTTTCAAACCAAAAACCACAACAGAACCAAATACACAAAATAAAAAAACAACTCAAGAAAACAAGAATTTACCTGAGAAACTCATTAATGCCTTGCTCACTGAAAGAGCCTTTTAGCAAAGCAAACTTCATCTTGCGGGCATTGATGGCAGCCATGGCGGGGTATCCAAACCCTCCGATCCCCAACGCATTCTCAAGTTCATTCTGGGCTCCAGCTTCTGTCCATAGCCACCTAGAAAAGCAGACTGACTTTTAGGGCAAAGATATCTTTTAAACTAGTTAGAATCTAACTAGTAGATCTTAAAGAACAAAAGATTATACTTCAAATATTTTGTGAAATGAGTGTATAAATATATCTAAAACAAAAGATGAGTTTTAAAAATAATGTAACGTAGATGTGCTCTTAAGTAACCACAGTTCCTCACTTAAGTTCCCTAAACCCTCACTCCAGAAGTATCCCAAAGGGATTGGTCTATGTATAAGACAGTTTTGTCCCCAGTCGCCAAAATACTGTCCACTAAGCTACATGAATTTTCCTTTTTTACCAGAAATCCCACCAACATCATTTGGGTTATCATGCATATTCTTGCATTTTGTAGGCATGTAATAAATATTTGTTGAACTAATGGAGGAGGAGCAAAGTTATCGTGAAAGGGACAGCAGGGGACACTAGGTACCTGGGGAAAGCAATGGATAGTGAGGATGAGAAGCAAAAAAATAAATGGGAAGGATATAGAGACATTTTAAAAATGTGCCCAGATCTAGCCCTCACTCAGAAGAGTGTAAGGAAACATTTTTGTTTCCTCTTCCTTCATGTAGCCTTCAAGGCTGTGCTAGAATTCAGCTATATTACTTACTTACTTCATTTATTGGCAGCTGGCTGGTACAGGGATTGAACCCTGGACCTTGGCGTTGTCAGTATCACGCTCTAACCAACTGAGCTAACTGGCCAGCCCTAGGCTATATTACTAATTAAGTGTTTGCTTGCTAGCCTGGAGCCCCAACCACCATTTAAAATATGATTCCTATGAGAAAAATGCATGCTGTGTGTTTTATAAGAACTGTGTATTACTTTTTTTCCAAGATGAAAATTACTTTTATATTTGAAATAAAAACACATGGCAGAGTGAACACAGGAACACATCCTACAGAAAACACGGAAGGAACTACTTTCTATACTCTGCTATCAAATGACACTGAGATGATAAGTTCAATAACTTTTTTTTTTGACCGGTAAGGGGATAGCAACCCTCGGCACAGTGTGGTCAGCACCATGTTCAGCCAGTGAGCGCACCGGCCATCCCTATGTAGGATCCAAACCCGCAGCCTCAGCACTACCAGCGCCGCACTCTCCTGAGTGAGCCACAAGGCCGGCCCAAATAACTTTTTTTTTTGACCGGTAAGGGGATAGCAACCCTCGGCACAGTGTGGTCAGCACCACGTTCAGCCAGTGAGCGCACCGGCCATCCCTATGTAGGATCCAAACTCGCAGCCTCAGCACTACCAGCGCCGCACTCTCCTGAGTGAGCCACAAGGCCGGCCCAATAAGTTCAATAACTTACCCCCACATTTTCTTTTTGTATTTGTCTGCCAGCTTCAGAAGAACTTCCAAATAAGAATTTCTGCCTGCAGCTCCTGATTTAAACAGATAAATTTTTAAAAGGTGAAAACAAAGGAGTCCACAAAATTAATCTACTAAGGAAGTGTTCTCAGAGCACCCACCATAGACCTAAATGGAAAAGAGTTTCTGTTTGCCCTACCAGTATCAAGGATGTGGGGCAGCACAGCCACCACACAGAGCTGATGCTCCTCACATGTCCTCTTGACAATGTCCTCATTGATTATCTGTGAGACCAAGAAGACAAAGGGTGAATGGGAGGCTGCATGGCACAACATCCAAAGGCAAGCTTGAAAAAAAAAGACTTAGCAACATCATTTCCATTAAAGAGACAGACAGACTTCTCCCAAATAATACTTCCCTGTATAGAAACACCAACAATAAACACTCTGTAAAAGAAGATCTGCATTTATTCCTTAGCCTTCTGTCTGTGGTGGTGAGGCATTAGCATACATACACAGTCTCTGAAATCACAATGCCTAGGCACAGCCTGATTCTGCCACTTCCTTGTTTAGAAAGATTATACTTACATGCATTATATATTTATATAAGCTTCAGGTTTTCTGTGCCTCAATTTCCTCATATGTAAAATGGAGATAAAAATTGTACCTAAATCTCAGTGTTCATATGAGAATTAAGTGAGAAAAATCTACATAAAAGCACCAGAATAGTGCCTGTTACATGGTTAGATGCTCAATAAATGTTAGTGATTATTCCGAGAACGATAAGGCAAAGAATGACTGAATTCACAATACTTTTAAGAAGTTTAGGTATACTTTTGCTCACAGTGCAATTATTTTAGTGCTAAAAGTCATGAGAAGGAGAAATTAATCACAATTTTTTCCATTTGAAAGTACAAAAGCACTTTAAGGAGAGTATTTAAAAAAAGAAGGAAAAAGCCTAATTTGAACAAATAAAAAGAGTGTCATTACTGCTTTAATGTCCCTCACTAGCAGACTGGAAAAGCTTTCCTTACTACAAATGGTTGAAGTGGTTTACCTCAAGCAGCTCAGGAGGTGGGGCGTTATCAGAAAACAAATCAAGGGCCCGGGAAACTATGTCGGATCTTGTCCGTCCACCATCATAATCGACAGGAGACTCGCCCTTCTGAAATATCTTGATTGTAGGAAATCCCCTAATCTATTTTTTAAAAAACACAAAACACAGAATACAAAATCAAGTCAACATTTAATAAAAAATAACATGATCTTTCTGGTTTTTAAAACCATTTTACAGGTAATTTAATGTAATAATAACATTCCCCAGTCTGCACCGAGGTCAAAGGAATGACTCTGTTAATCAGGGAGTTCTAACAGTCTCACCACAAAGTTTAGCAAAATCTTATTCAAGCCCCAGGTATCCAATTAATAAAATGTTTCTACTCTAGAACAACTTTCAAAAGCCATGTGAACAACCTGTAAAGTCGTGGGCAAGCTGAGGCGTCACATTAAGTACACAATAGAAGTAGTGGGACAGTGGGAAAAAAAATCAACAGTCCTGAATTCCAGATTTATTAGTGACTTAATCTTTTCATTTACAAAATAGTTTAACATATCCCCTCCTGCCTCATAGGGAAGGCCTGGAATACCAGATGTAGTAACAGTTTTTAAAATTCTGTGTACTTCACACAGGAACAAGCCTTATAAATATACTCACCCCATATCGGCTGGCTAGAACCTGATTAACTGTGGCGTCCACAGCTGCCAGTTTCACTTTTCCTTTTGTTTGCTCTTTTACCTCTGTAGCTGCAGCAGCCCATTCTGGCTCTAAGCTATAGAAAAATATCAGCATTTTAAAAGTGTATTTTAACTAGGTCCACAAATACTGTAACTGATCTGTGCATTTCTGCTGCCCAATTCCCAGTTATGTCGCACTTATAGAAAAATATCAGCATTTTAAAAGTGTATTTTAACTAGGTCCACAAATACTGTAACTGACCTGTGCATTTCTGCTGCCCAATTCCCAGTTATGTCGCACTTGGAAAATATTCTGTTTGTAGCTCTATGACAGATATGATGCTACCCTTCACATTAGCTTCCCAGTCCCCAGTCCTTCACCTCACCCCACACCTTCCCCAAATGTGGACATAGCCAGCCCCCTGTTAATCTTCGAAAAAGCGACAGCGCAAACTCTTGGCACTACTGTCCATGTTTAACATTCATTTAGAGTCAGAGTTTCTCTGGAGGAGAGCTTGGAGATTATCTATGATCTAGTTCAGCTCTTTCAAAATGAGCTAGCTGAATAGACTAAAAGCAGTGTGACTGAACAGACCACGTGGTAGGAAGCACTTACTTTTTACAGTGTCCACACCAAGGAGCATAAAACTCAACCATCCAAACGTCTTCACTGTCAAGGACATTCTTATCAAAGTTGTCATCCGTTAGCTCAATCACGTCCTTCTTACTTGAACTATCACTTCTGCCCTGTCATTCATAACATTCAACATCAAACTACAACTTGACCAAAAAGAACACTATTCCTATTTCAAATACTGTGTGTATGTATATATAAAACGATCATTTCTATAACTTAATGAAGTCTTTGAGTTATTCTTGAGTGAATAAAATAGTAAAAACTGTTTTATTCAAGTTGGGGACATTCATTAATGTTATTATTTTAGTTTGGCAAACAGTCCTTATTTTCAAACAATTACCAATATATTCAGTATAACCTGTAACCTGTACCCGAAGTCTCCTACCTGCTATTTTTTTTTCTCAAAAATAACAGGTAAGTGGATCTTAACCCTTGACTTGGTGTTGTCAGCACCACGCTCTCCAAGTGAGCTAACCGGCCATCCCTATATAGGGATCCAAACCCGTGGCCTTGGTGTTATCAGCACCACACTCTCCCAAGTGAGCCACAGGCTGGCCTTCTACCTGCTATTTTTATTCAGAGAAATCTCAACATGGCTCCAAGAACTATCTTATAACACTGTTCTAAATGCAGACCCAAGCAGAGCTGCTGCTTCATCCCACGATGTTATACTTGACTAGTTACTACCTTTTTGCAGATACTGTCCTACCACTCTAAGAAACTAAAAATAACATTTAGTCTTTTTCTTTTTTCAAAGAATTTTCTTCAATACTAACCTAAGAAGCAGTCAGTATTGCTATACTGCTATCTGTTGCCAGGCTAAAAGCCACGGCAGGAGGTAAGGGGCAGGGACCAGGCAACTAACTATGCTCACTGAGTGTCTAAGTTTCAAATAAAAGGCAAGAGGAAGAAAGCTGTGGGTAAGCTCTAAGTCTGCATAAAGAAGCTAGTTTTATTGGTCTCCTAAAAAAGTGAAGGGCCACTATATGTATATAATGTACACTGTATACTGTGTAATTATACAATGTATATAATGTATGTATACACATACATGTATATCTTTGACTTAATGCCTTTTCACAAGAACATAGGAACATCATGGCTAAGCCTCACATTTCAGAGAAGGGAATCTAAAACACTAATCCATGGAACAGGAACTTCTATCTCTTTCTCTTCTTCTCTATCCATTTGTATAGAATCTTCCATGGACTTTGGGCTCACTGCCACAGACACAGGCCAAGAGTTTATCCAAACTGCATCACTGTTTGCCTAAAGAAAGCTGATCGAGAGGAGAACAGGCACACTTCTCTCCACTCTAAGATTAGGAACACCACGGGATCCCAGGTCTGGAGCTCTTTCTCTCTCTGGAGTCCAAACTCCTCTATTTCAACCCTGGGCCTAGGAAGCCTATCTGGAGGCCTGGTTCTTGGACTGCAGCTGTGATGAGATGCCCTGGGGCTGAATGGCTATGGCAACGGTGATTCTGAGGAGGCCAAAGGAATGTGCTGGGTGCCTGTTTCCCTCTGGGTGAATTGACCCATTCCCTATTATTATTAGTATTATTATTATTTTTTCTTGCTAGCTAGTATAGGGTTTGGTTACCAGCACCATGTTCTAACCAACTAAGCTAACCAGCCAGCACCTCCTGTTATTTTTAAATTAAAATTTGCCAATTAAAAATATTTTTTAAAAATATTTATTTATTTATTTTAATTTTTTAAAAAAGATGACCGGTGAGGGGATCTCAACCCTTGACTTGGTGTTGTCAGCACCATGCTCACCCAGTGAGCTAATTGGCCATCCCTACATAGGGATACAAACATGGGGCCTTGGTGTCATCAGCACCACACTCTCCTGAGTGAGCCACAGACCGGCCCCAATTAAAAATTTTTAAAAAGGGCTTGCATGGTGCTGGTAACACCAAGGTCAAGGGTTCAGATCCCCTTACTGGCCAGCCACCAAAAACAAAACAAAACAAAACAAAACAAAAAACCAAAACAACCCCTAAAAGATTAAAAATATTAAAAAGAACCAAAATTGTCTTCTACAAAAAGTCCACACACAGGATTCAAAATTATGACACACATTAAAAACCAACTTCATACTTGTACAGCCTTACTTGTTTTCCAGAACTATATCCCCCACTCCTTCCCCCGAGGCGATCCTTCACGAGCTGGCGCACAGCATTGAGCGCAGCATCTACAATGGCTTCACCAGTTCTGCCACCTGCAGGAAACAAAGGACAGTCAGGTGAATGGGTATGGGTGGTTCTCAGCTTAGCCTTCTGCATATGTGCCTCTCTGACACTGAAGACTTGTACCTGTACCTATCTGTCAGCTTCACCTGGTGTTAAACAGATCCAACAACACATGCACTTACTATACAGCACACTTTCTCCCCAGAATGCATTTTGCACTACACTTTACATGTGGAAAACCAATTCAGTTTTAGGTTACTGGTGTGAAAAACTCCTCCCTGTTCATCACCTATAAATACAATCTACTAATGAGAATAATTCACAAATGTTTACTGAATGTATAAGAAGCTTAACATCTAGCAGGGGAAATTTCCAGACAGAACTATTTCTATGAGATAGTGTACAGAAAAGACTGAAAAAGCAGGACATCAGGTGTCTTTGAAGCCAAGGAACTGGAAAGCAATCCAGTCCTTTTTTTTTTAATCTTGCTTAGAACACTGTTAAGCAGAACTTAATCCTAACACAAAAATTAACACACTTGCATTAAAACTCCACAAAGCAAGATGACAATAGCCTTTGGAAGTTTACCAAAAACAGTATGCTCAAGAAAAAGTCGGGGGCTAATTAAGTGACATAGAAGTACAGCGACAATATGTGTTATGAGGCTATCTCTAGAGTTCAAAGGCAAAACTCTAATAGAATTTCTTTAGGTTGTTTCATCTTTTTTTTTTTACCAAAAACAGTATGCTCAAGAAAAAGTCGGGGGCTAATTAAGTGACATAGAAGTACAGGGACAATATGTGTTATGAGGCTATCTCTAGAGTTCAAAGGCAAAACTCTAATAGAATTTCTTTAGGTTGTTTCATCTTTTTTTTGAGTTTTCTAAACTAACTGGTTAGAAAGATAACTTTTGAGAACACCTCTGACTTGACATTAGAAAGAAAATACACTACAGCAATACTCAGAATATGTTCAGATAATCTTGTATTGCCATCCCTGGTTTCTGTGGATTGGTATCCCCCAAACTTAGTCCCCACTGTGCCAGTATAAAGAGGGTGGGAAATCCTATTATGGTACTTAAAAGGTGGGAACTTGAAGAGGTGATTGTACTGTAGGACCATGTCATAGTGAATGGATTAATAATGGTGGTAAGAGGCATGGTTCCGAGTGCTTTGAAAGGAGAGCACTTGAGTCTCTCTGCTCTGACATTTTCTGCCATGTGAGACCCCTGCATCGCTGTAAAGAAACCACCAGAGAATACCCTCACCAAATGTGTTCCTTGAACTTTGGATGTAAGCAATAAATTTTGTTTTCTTACAAAGTACAGTTTCAGGTATTGTGGTATCAGCAAGAGAAATGGACCAATATACTGGTTGAGACTACCAAGTATGTCACTTCAAAACACAGAAGGCAAGACCTCAACATGAAAACAGACTTCTGCTCCTTATCTACATCAGATATCTCCATCTTCTGAACCAGTGTCCCTTCCCTTAATTTTTACCTGGAAATATGCCAAATGAAGAACTATACTAGAAAAAAAGGGAGAGTTTTCTCACTTTAGACCAGTGGTTGGCAAACTCTTTAAAGGGCCAGATGTAAATATTTTCAGCTTTGTGGGTCACACAGTCTACTGCAACTCATTACTCAATTCTGCTGTTCTAGTGTAAAAGTAGCCACAGAATATGCGTAAATGATGTACAGGTGTGCCTGTGTTCTGATAAACCTTATTTACAAAATCAGCAACAGCCTAAATGCTCTACACATTCAATTTTTACAAACCGGCAAAACTGTAACAATTTATTATTCCAAAGCAGAATAGCGGAGGTTTAGTTAGAAAATGAAACTAATCATGCCCTAGAACTTCAGAGCTGGGGAGTCAAGAACAGATATGCCTAAGGCCATTATTTCCAAGTATTCTGACCCCCAGCTTGGAGATGTACCATGTACACTGACATTTACCAAATATGAAGGCACTTCAAAAAGTTTGTGGAAAAATATAATCGAAATGAATTCTATGAATTTTTTGAAGTACCATACATATGCTATTTCAATTAAGCTTCTGGGTAGCCTAAAATAGGTTTTTCACATCCCCCTTTTTACAGAGAAGCAGCAAGTGCAGAGACTAAGGACTACTGAGTTATGAAGCCAATATGGTGAAGCAGCAGTTAACCCAGGGTGGGCTGCCTCCTCAGTACATACTCTACAGATGCTACACCGCCTTTGCCTTCCCTGTTCTCTATGAGCTGCACCCAGTGCAAGTCACCAAGTACAGACAAGACAACAACTCTTTGTTTTACTGTGATGATGATTCTCCTACCCAACCCCGCAAGCCTGTACTCTCACAAAGCAAAACCTAAGATGGTAAACATAGTTCAGTCACTTACATGCCCCATGTAACAAATGTTTTTAACAATATTATTAAATTAGCCATAATTTAAGCCATAAATACATTATGCCCAATACTTTCATTAGGACCATGGACCTGGCCCAATCTAGCAATTCTGATTATCTTAAATATGATAATGTTTGTGGTATCTTAAGTAACAGGACTACTTTATAAAACAACATTGTGACTGAAATAAAGTTAGTTTCAGGAGTCTGGAGCTGTAATTCTATCTTTAGTTGCCTCAGTGACTCATAGCAGACACAATCTACAAAACAGGGAGAATGTGTGGTACCTATCAATAGTTTTGGAGACTAAATAACAGCTTTAATATCCAAACACTATATATGTTTACAACGCACAAATATCCATGGGCAAAATACCCCACAGTAATATCAATAGACAGTTTAAATCGAGTTTCAAATTATAGGGTCTTCTTTTCCATAGTACCATGCTAGACCCTTCTCCTATAGTGAAGAGAAGAGATTAGAACCAAAAAACACTTGGAGACCTTTATCAAATATTAATTGTAATGAGAAAGGCAGGAGGACCACACAGAACATTATTATTACTCTATCACTGATAAGGCAGGGTAGGCCTAAGCTAGCATAAACAATAATAAAAAACCTTTTATCTATATGACACATTTTAAATCTCCAGAACAACTCAGAGGGGATAAGAATCACTCTATACCATTTATAAATAAGGAAAAAGAGGCTGAGAAATCTGCAAGTAGCAGGGCTAACAAGATATAGAATCTTAAGTTCTCTCCTACCAGGGGAATGGAGTAAGGAATAGTCCTTACCCTGATAATCTTCAGGTTTGTTTTTGTTAGATCCAAAAATCTTGATGGTAGGAAATCCCTGAACACCATATTGACCTCCTAGGGATTGATGTTTATCTGCATCAACTGCACCGACTTTTACAACATCCTATAGAAATATTAAAAAAAAATCTTATTTTTCTTTCAACTACAGCAAATTCCACAAGAACCCATCATCTGATGCGTGCAGACTCAGAGACGACTTAAAAACGGGCAAGGTGAAGTTTACACATAGAGTCAATGAGAGCTTTAGCCTTGAAAGCCAGAAGAGAATCTTAAATGGAACAATGGCTGAAATGCAAATCAACCCATGGAGGGAAAGCTGCAGCTCCCCAAATTAGCATGGCTGAGAGTAATTACGTCATTTCTTCTTATCCGGAAAACAGAATGAACAAAAACAGGTAACATAAAAAGTGAAATGTGTAGTCTCCCATTGTCCCCTACATTATGTTGGCAACAGAACCAGCATTTGAACTTTGATATGCAAATGTTTCCTCTAGGACATTAAACCTATCTGCATATTTATTTAAACACACAGGTGAATGTGAACATTTTAGAAACTTACTTTTAATGCAGTTGCTGCTTTCTTCCATTCTGGTGTTAACCTTTGGCAGTGACCACACCTTTAGGGGAAGAAAATATAAATAGGGCAACAGTTGTGCCTTTGATCCTCAAAAAAAAAAAAAAAAAAAAAATCCATCAATGGTCTATTGAGTGAGATGAACTGGGGGTGGGGTCTTGCAAAAAAGACAAGCACTTATCAAACAGGATCAGTGACGTGAAGGATCTCACCACTTTATTTCTTATGACACTCATATTTTATATCAACCTAATAAAAAAGCTTCCAAACTACTGTCAAATTAAATCACATTTAAAGAGTTTAAATAAATTCTATCATTTGTAATTCAATACCTGAACGGGCCCTTCAGAATTTAACTGGTCCAGTGTGCCTTAATGTGTAGAGCTGTAAGACTAGGCTAAATGCAGATTCTTGGGCCCCATGAAATCAGAGTTCCTAGAGAAGAAACCTGCTAATAAGTTCCACCAGTGATTCTTAAACCTATTAAAGTTTGATATTCCCTAATCTAGCCCAACCTTTTCATTTTATAGATAAGGAAACTGACCGAGATCTCCTGTGCCCTGGCTAGCAAAAGCTGCTTCTGGAGTAAAAAACACATACAAGGGTACTTAAAAACTTCATGGAAAAACAGAATTGAAAGATAATACAGAACTTTCCATGAACTTTTTGAAGTACCCTAGTAAATAAACCCAAGTTAGTGAGCCTAACAAGTTGAAAAACATATGATGTGATACCACAGGACAGTGCTATGAAGGTGGTGTGTGTGTGTGTGAGAGAGAGAGAGAGAAAGGAGAGAAGACAAAAACATAAGGAAAACAACCTTAATCTTGCAGGTACTAATATTTAGAATAAAAATCACTAGGAAACACAACACAGGAAGGGCTTTTAAAAAATTACATACACACAAACCTGTTATGCTTCTACCATGCTGAGGTTGTAGGTAGCTATACTACTCACTTTCAGTGAATACCATCCATCGTATGCAGATAGCATAGTTTACTTCTACACGGGTGATTTGATGCATTTTTTTTTAACAAAGTAAATTCTCTTCTAATTAGGTCTCAAAGGACCTAATGAGCAAATGCCATGTGCCAGCACCATGATGAACACTTTTCGTAGAAGGTTTCATTTAATCAGCATAATGCTGAAGGTAGGCCCTGTTGCTATTTTTAATTTACAAATGATGAAACAGAGGCTGAGAAGAAATTCACCCAATACCAAACAGCCGTTCTCTGACCTGCCTGACATGTTTTTGATTCCAGATACCACATTCTTAATCACTATGTAATAACACCTTCCATAGGAACCTAAACTTAATTTCAATATTTGAAGTTAGGATCTTCCAGTGAAATGTCCTGAAATGCTGCTTCTACATATTTATATATATAGTATGTTTTGTTGCTTAGGAGATATACTTAGAAGTCCAGGAGTCAAATTTTTACAGGGTTTTGTGCCTCCTTAATTTCAGTTTAACTAAGAAAAGAGGACTCAAATCAGAGACCATCAGACCACATATCCTCTTCAATTTGAATGTTTGGCAGTTCTGATCTGCAGATAGATCAAACGCCACATCTTCATTTGGGGTCCAGACTCTCAAAGGACTGATGAAATGAAAATTTAGGGGCCTATGAACTTGGATGGAAAAAACTCTCTATTTTCAATTACTAACCCGTAATTGAAATTTAGAATTTCCTTCAATTATGAATATAAACAACATTCCACAGTTGATAAGTATTTGTGACTTTGTCATGAAATAAAATCACAGCTATTTCCACATCACCACTGTAGTTGTTGCAGGTATCTATCTTTAAATATCATCTATGCCCATCACTATTTCAGTACTACGGTAAATGTCAGACCTGCTGATGGATCCTGGTATTTACTGTCCTAGTAAAGTAGTACTATATTACCATTTCAAGATTTATTTTAACATTCTGACAACCATATTTCAATATTTTAGGTTTCCTTTGTGATCCTATATAGTTTACTTAATACACTTAAAACTTTAATTCTGAGAAGGAATCCAAGGTCTTCACCAGGCTACCAAAGGAGTCCAAGCACAAAAAGAGATTAAAATCGCCTGCTCTAATTAGACATTCTCTTACCCAGAACACTATGAAGTAACTAGTCCGATTTAATAATAATAATCATAACTAACTACCAGATCCAGATCCTGCCTTCTCAATTACACTGTCTGGGATAGTTTTAGAATGGGGTACTCATGTATTCTCTTGTATCGTAGCTCTCAGAAACAAGGTAAATTACTCATTCCATAAGTGATAAAAAAAAAATCATACTTGTAAAAATTGCATACAAAGGTATTCAACAATATAACAATTTGTACAATTATTATTTGTGCATTTACTAATAATGAGCTAACTCATACAGAATTAGCATTTAGATTTAACAAACAAAAAACACAGCAGCCTTTAAAAAATAGTAAAGGCATTAAGGTAAACAGGATTCACAATGTGGCAGCAAAAACTATTTAAAAAATTTTTTTAAACTTCAAAAAGAGGGTTTTTACCTCAATTTGCTACACTGAACATTAAGTGAAACAGTCCATGAGGACTGGTGTTTAGTTTTCAAAATTTAGTTTTATGGTCTTCCACAGGAAAAAAACTTAAATAAAGGAAAAACCTTCATCAGGCATACCCTAAAATGCACCCATTCAGGTTACAAGAATTTGACTGTAAGAATTTCATTTAATATTCCTTACTTAAGGTCACAAGGCATTGTTGACATTTAAAAAGGCTCCTTTGGATTTCAGATCACTATGCAGTTCATCTTCACACACACACAGTGAGCTGGGGTTCAGTTCTCCTCTTAGGGTACTTGTGGCCTGCTAGTTTACAGCAGAGACAGTCTACATTTTACATAGTTTCCATTGATTAGTCTCTACTTTTCTATTTGTTTTCTTGCATTAAAAGCTTTAACTACACAATGAGCGCAATACTTTATTTTGACTACATGTATTTATAATTTTCCACCATTAATTTCAATCAGGATTACATCTTTACCCCACAGGGATTTTTCCAGCAATGAATGTAAGGCAAGAGAATTTTTAAATTAAACCAGATTTTCTAATTATATATTTCAGGAAATAATCCTCTTCAAGAAACACAATAGAGTCAAATCACTGGTTCTTTCCTTTCCTCCACTCAAGACTTTCTTCGTAAAATCAGTTTCCCTTCCATCACCACCCCATTCACCTTATCATAAGGATAGACCTCCTTAAAAATTTAAGCTTTTGGGCCGGCCCAGTGGCGCACTGGGTAGTGCGCTTCTTCGTAAAATCAGTTTCCCTTCCATCACCACCCCATTCACCTTATCATAAGGATAGACCTTCTTAAAAATTTAAGCTTTTTTTCTTTCTTCTTTCTTGCAACAATTAACCTACTTCAAACACCCTTTTTTTTTTTTTTAAAAAAAAAACTGACTCAGTCTGCACGGCCTTTAATAGACTAGACATTTACCTCTCCTCTACTACTTCTTTTTTTTTTTTGTCTTTTTGTCTTTTTTCCGTGTCCGGCAACGGATCGCAACCCTCAGTGTTGCCCCCGTACCGGACCGGGGACCGGCAACGGGACCGCAAGCCTCGGTGTTGCTCCCGCGCCTCGCTCAGCCAGTGAGCGGGAACCGGTCTGTATATGGGATCCGAACCCTCGGACGGGAGCGCCGCTGCGCTTCCCAAGCGGTGCACTATCCAGTGCGCCACCGGGCCGGCCGACTCCTCTACTACTTCTAAATAAACAGTAAGCTACGTAAACAGGATGACTTAATAAAATCAGATTTTTATATAGTATTTTCCCCAATTTTATGAAGTACCATGAATAATCTACAACTATTTTATAATACTTACCATGGAGCATAGAATTCTACAAGCCACAAACTATCACTCTGAATAACTTCTTGGTTGAAATTTGATGGAGTTAATTCGATTACATCATCAGTAGAGGAATACAGACCATTCACTGCTAGAAAGAAGGTACAGCCCACCAGACCTGGAGTAACAACAAAAAGCATGCCATTAACATGACTGCTCATGCTCTAACAGGAAACTTTGGGCAACCACATTGACCTTTCCAACTGACCAAGGCCCTTCATATAGGAGGATGGCCTGGCCTTCGTCCCCTCTGCCCTCCTTGCTGCAGTTGGAGCCCCTGGAATTTCACTCCCACTGGCACAGCTCTGAGCAAGAAGGGAATAGACAGTCCCCATTCTCATTTCTTGAGCTGCATTGGAAATGAATTTCTTAGTTCTTAGTGCTTCTCATGTATGAACAACACCTTTATTCTTTACAACCACCCTATGAGGTAGTACTAATAGTACCATTTTATGGGTGAGGACAATGAAAAATTGGGAGGTTACCTCTAGCTATGTGACCTTGGGCAATCCACACAGTATTTATTCCTTGTGTCATTCAGATGCAATATTAGCACACTATATTTATTAAAACACTTTTTTTTGAAAGGAAAATAATTATTTGTCTCTTCCACTAGACTGTGACTCTAAGGGCAATGATTGTTTTTGTAAATATTTTTATGTCTACTAACACTATCCGTAGCACATTATTAGGCACTCACAATGTTATTGGATGAGCTTAAAAACAACGCTCATGTGAATGATGTTGTAAAGGCAGGAGGATACAGAGTCTATTGTATTAATAGCATAGCTTAGCTACGCTATGGATCAAATGTATTTGTGTTGGTTACTTTGGGAACTTAAATGTAAATTATAACAATTATATAGGAAAACATACTCTGAACTAATATTCTGAATTGGCAATACTATCTAGATTTCACTTCCTTTTAAATTTATATACATACATATATATATGTAATTTGTGTTTTCTAAAAAAGTTTGTTACCTCCAGAAACAATGCTAAATAACAGAAAATACTTGGCTTGTTTTTGACTTTAACAAAAATGTATTCCCATTTGCATGATGCTGGCTTTTGGGGTGAAACAGATATACTTAAGATGTTAAAAGAAATTTCTATCTATCTATTGTCATCATCTATGAAGATGATCATGTAATTTCTTTTAATCTGCTGAAAAGCGAATTATAAGTAAGACTGGCTCATCTCCTAAAGTAGTGTATATGTCATCTTAGTCACATTTTCATGTGCTTACTTTGTAAACAGATTTTGGGAGATTTCAAATGGAACTTTTTAGAACAACCCAATAATCCATTTCTTCTGGAAGGAGTGCACATGGATGTTAATGGTTCTACTGCTAAATCCTCCATCATACAGCACTTTCAATTTTCAAATCACTTTCAAATACATTAGACACTTGATTTTTCACAGCATTACTAACAAGAAAGCAGGAATTATCCCCATTTTGTAAAAGAAAAAAAAAGGCAGAAAGAGAGTAACGGCCCATCTACAGTTATACTATAAGCGGCAGGGCAGCCCTCTGACTCCTGTTTCCAGGCTTTTCGTGCTACACCGTGTTGTCTTTTTAGTGCTCAAGATAAAATGGTTCAGTACACCATGGGCATGAATAAACAATCATATTATTCAAGAATAATATGTATTTGAAGTACAGACATAGCTAATACTGTGAGAACTTATGAAATAAAACTGTGGACTTTACTAAGAGTGATGTGAAGCCACTAAAGAGTTATAATGCAGGGGGGGTATGATCAGATTTGCTTTCTAGAAGGAATATTTCAGCTACAATGAAATTCAGTAACAATGGATAGAGGGAATTATCAGGAGAGTGGTGTCACATAAACCAAGAGAAAAATGGAATGGGCAACAGTAACAAATACTACTCGGAGATAAAGTAGGAAAGACTGAAAATTGTCTATTGGATTTAATGACAAAGAAGTCACTGGACACCCTGGCAGTTGTGTTGGAGTTGTGAAAATAGGCAGCAGCTCATCTGCAGAGGACTGGAGAGAGTAGGAGGGAACAAGTTGAAGAGAACAATACAGATAAACCTTTAAACAAGTTTCATTATAAAGAACAGAAAAAGCAAGCAAATGGAGTACAAGGAAGGTTTCTTTTCAAAGATGGGAGTGATCCGGGCATGAAAGGAAGAAATACAATGAGAGAGGCTAAAAATACAGTACGGGGAATACCTGAAGAGAATGCCCAGAGTCAGAAAGAGAAGAGGAGGGAACACAGAGTCAGTGATGGAGTAGCCTTTGATAGGATGACTTTCTCTTCCATTTCAAGAGGTGGTAAAGGATGAGTGTCAATGGCTGTCCAATATGGTAGCCACTAGCCACATGTGACTACTCCGATCCGAGATGTGCCGTAAGTGTAAAAAGCACACTGAATTTCAAAGACTTGGTGAGGTCAAAAGATGTAAACTAATCTCACTAGTATTTTTCACATTAATCACATGTTGAAATGATTTTAGATATACTGGGTAAATATATATATATATACATATATATATATATATATTAAAATTAATCCCACATGCAGAACATTGAAACTAGACCCCTATCTCTCACCATACATAAAAAAATCAACCCAAAATGGAAGGACAAAATGGATTAAATACCTACATTTAAGACCCCAAACTATGAAACTATTAGAAGAAAACACAGGGGATATACTACATTAAATGGGAGTGGGCATGCTTTTTTGAGCGAGACTACAAAGGCAGAGGCAACTAAAGCAAAAATACACAAGTGGGATCACATCAAACTAAAAAGCTTCTGTGTAGCAAGGGACACTATCAACAAAGTGAAGAGACAATCTACAGAATGGGAAAAAGTGCTTGCAAACATCTGACAAGAGGTTAATATCCACAACATATAAAGAACTCAAATAACTCAATGGCAAAAAGTCAAATAATGCAATTAAAAAACAGAGGACCTGGGCCGAGCCCGTGGCGCACTCGGGAGAGTGCGGCGCTGGGAGCGCAGCAGCGTTCCCGCTGCGGGTTCGGATCCTATATAGGGATGACTGGTGTGCTCACAGCGCTCACTGGCTGAGCGCAGTGCGGCCGGTCTCAAAAAGGATAAAAACAACCCCCCCCCCCCCAAAAAAAAACAGAGGACCTGAATAGACATTTCTCAAAAGAAGACATACAAATGGCCAACAAGCACATAAAAAAATGCTCAAAATCACTAATCATTAGGGAAATGTAAATTAAAACCACAATGAGATATCACCTCATTGTGTTAGAATGGCTATTATCAACAAGACAGAAAATAACAAATGCTGGCAAGGATGCAGAAAAAAGGGAACCCTTCTCCATTGTTGGTTGGAAGGTAAATTGGTACAGACATTGTGGAGGCTCTGAGGAACAGCGTGGATGTTCCTCAGAGAACAAAAAATAAATCTACCTTACCACCCAACTATCCCGCTACTGGGTATATACCTAAAGGAAATAAAACCAATATATCAAAAAGAGGGCTGGCTGGTTAGCTCAGTTGATTATGGCACAGTTTTATGACACCAAGGTCAAGTAAGTGTTCAGGATCCCCATACAGGCCAGCTGCCAAAAAGAAAAAAATAGACACCTGCACTCCCATGTTCATTGCAAAGCTATTCACAACCTAAATATCCATCAGCGGATGAATAGATAAAAAACTGTGCTATATATACACAATGGAATACATTCAGATATAAAAAGAAATGATAGCCTATCGTTTGCAGCAACATGCATGGAACTGGAAACCATCATGTTAAGTGAAGTAAATCAGGCAAATCCTGCACAACTCACTTACATGTGGGGTCTTAAAAAAAGGGGGTTCTCACAGAAGTACTGAGTAGAATAAGGATGGTGGGGGGGGGAAGTGGTGGACTGATGGGTACAAAACTGCTAACCTACGTTTAAGTGAATCATTATTCAGTGTATGTATGTATTGAAACAACACACTGACACACTGCACCCCACAAAAACATACAATGTTAAAATTTAAAAAAAAAATTAATTTCACTTGTTTCTTTGTCTTTTTGAATGTGGCTAACTTGAAATCTTTAAATGACATAACTACATATAAAGTTTGCATTATATTTCTATTGGATGGTGATGCTCAATAATCTTTTCATTGATGTAGAAAAGGTTAAATATATTGTGAAATCTTCAATAATAGAAAAGCAAAAGAATGTTACAGACATTTGTCACATAAGTAATTACTGATTACTTATTATCTCTCCAATGTAACCATTTTCAATGGCTGAACCACGTTGCTAATCCACTACTGACTGAATTTTGACTGTTTCCAATTTTTCACTGTTAACTACCCAGCGATGAAGTCCTTAAACTTTCCCTCCTTTTCAAATGAATATGGCTGTTTCCTTAAGAGAAATTCTTACAAGGAAGATCAAGGGGTATGGCTAACACTTTCAGATATCTGTCCAACCACCCTCCAGAAACTGAGATTTTTACTTTTTGGGGGGAGGTGGGGAGAGAAAACTAACAATAACACTTACCAGGCACTGTTCTAAACATTTTACATATAAACTCATTTAGGAGCCCTATATGGGATGTACCATCATGCCCATTTTATTGACCAGGAAACTGAGAAACAGAACGGATAGCTTGCCTAAGGTCAAATAATTAGAAAGAGAAAAAACATGATTATGCAACCCAAATTTCTAACTAAAGGACTGGAGGTTGCAGTGGAGTAATCCCATGGAGCATTATTAGGTAGACTGTGGCAGGAGAATTAGGTTCTTTCACCTCTTTTGCCAATCGGGGACAGCAATAAAGAATGTACTCTTCTTGCTGTTAGAGGCAGGCAGGCTGGAGCCACTAATCAGGATGGACCATAATTTTTCACTTCAGGAATATGCTTCCTTTCCATAAAAGATGGTCATTACTACTGACACTCAGTGTAACACAGACGTTGGGTTATTATTTTCTAGAAATGGTGATAGACTTTTTGTCTGTCTTTAAATTTTGCTTAGTTCTCACTGGAGCCTCCCTTCATACATGGCTACCCAAGAAAATGTACTGATAATGAGGTTTGAGACCTAAATTCCTTATAAGGCAATGTGACCTAATAGGGTTAGAAGGAAATCAAACATACC